CTGAGGCCTCACCGGTGAAGAGGAGAGTGGGACATTCACCTCCCTCGACCAGCTGGCAATGCTTTGCCTGATGCCCCCCAGGACATGGTTGGCCCTCCTGAATGCCAGGGCACTGCTGATTTATATTCAACTCGCCATCAACCAGGACCCCCAAGTCCCTTTCCATGGCACTGCTTTTCAGCATCTCATTCCCCAGTCTGTACGTACATCCAGGGTTGTCTCATCCCAGGTGCAGAATCCCACACTTGCCTTTGTTGAGCTTCATACAGTTGGTGATTGCCAAATTCTCTAATTTGTCGAGGTCTCTCTCTGTTACAATAATAATCATCACATAGAATCACAGGATAATTCAAGTTAGAGGGGATCTCAAGTCCAATGTCCTGTTTAAAGCTGGGTGAGCCTTGTGGCTCCATTCAATCTGGCCTCAAAATCCTCCCAGGATGGGGAGCACACAATCTCCTCTGGATAACGTTCCAGTATCTTGAGTCTCCTTATGGTGAAAAGGTTTCTCCTCACACATATCGTGAACTTCTCTTGTTTCAACTTCTTCTTGTTGACTACTGCCCTCCCACATTGCGCCACTGAGAAGTGCCAGGCTCCATCTTCTTAATGACCTGTCCCAGGTAGGGGAATGGTGCTATTAAGGCCCCCCAACACAGTGTTGTCCTTCTTGGGCTGAACAAACCCTACTGTCCCAGACTCCCCTGGGCAAGTGCTCCAGAGGATTGCGGTCCTCTGCCAAACTCCCACCAGTTTACCACTGTATTTCTTGTTTGCAAGGGCTCAAAACCAAACACAATATACAAATGTGTTCTAACAGGTGCTGAGTAAATGGGAATAATCACTTCCCTCCACCTACTACTCACGGCACTCCTGTTGCTACAGTCCAGGATGCTGGTGGCCTCCCTTGCTGCCAGGACAGATTGCTGGATCCTGCTCAATTCAATGCCCATGAGCCCTCCAGGTCCCTTCCACAGAGCTGCTCACTCTGTCCCCAGCCTGTGGCCCTCCTGGGGTCCCTCCTTACCCTGTGCAGCGTTTGGCATTTGCCCTTGATGAATTTCTATTAAATTCATTATGACGGATAATTCCAGTAGTGATTCTTAGACAGGAGCTTAATATTTTCCTCCTTTCTGTTTTACTCCACTATTGCAGACTCATTTTACTACAATTTAGTTTAAAGAGGAGGATTAAATAATTCAGAATAAATTTAAAATCTGATTAGATTAAAAAGAGAGACAAAGAAGTCTGTCCTGCTTTTTATGCAGAATTTCTTTTCACTGTCTTCCACTTGACATGCATATTTTTACATTTGCTGCTGTAACTACTTTGGCTTTGACAGACCCAGAAGAATTACAGAAGCTCTATACCAAAAAAAACCCTAACTTTTTGTCTTTTGAGCTAGTCTGATAAACCATGAGTCACAGTACTTTCTATGCGTATACATTTTCAACAATTTCAATATTAAACCATAGCTATGATACTCCTTAAATTATTTATTTTAAGCCAATTTTATATTAATAGCAATAGGTATTCTGCAGGAAAAGTGAATACTAGTTGAAAATAAATATGTTGAAAAGTTTGACAAGTTAATTAATAGTAGTTTCTTTAAGTTTCAATTAATTGCATGTATCAATGAATCTTAAACAATTTTTTGTTTTGTTGTAAAAATATTTTAACTTAACCTTCTAAAGCAGTTTAACCCAGTGAGATCATTTAAGGCAGAGGATAACCTGCCATGAGAGGTCATATCACTGAAGTGCTGTATTTACAGGATGAGGAGACAAGAAATCAAGAACTGTGTGGAGGCCCATGCAAGTTCTCTTCCAGCAGTGCAGAGTGAATGCTTGGTCATTAAAAAATAATTTTTCCATGATATTCTGATGTGTAATCTGTTATGCCCAAATACGACACCATGTTTCATTAGCCAAAGAAAATACATCCCACACTGGAATCGAATACAATAATCGAACAGCTTTAGATGTTCAGTAAATTGACAACTATGCACCACAATCCGGGTGCGTCAAACCCCAAACTCCATAAAACTGCAATATTTATCTCCAAAACCATAACTGTCTAAACATTTACATCAAGTTTCTTCCATAAAACACACATTGAAAGTTTAGAAATGTAGACTGAATCATTTCCTGTGACTCAGTGATTTGCTATTGCATCTGTGCAGAGCACCAGGAGAGCTGTTTTTAGCTTGACAATTTTACAATTCAGTGGAATGTTAATGGCCTCTTAAATTTTATATAGAACGGCTTCTTATCACATCCTTAATCTTGTATCAGATATTATCTAGGGTAAAGTAAATCAAGGCCAGATTATAACCATGGAGAGAAGAAGCAAGAAAATTCTCGCGTGCAGCTGATGTTAGATGAAAGATTAGCAAGACTGTTGCCAGCTATTTCCTGTGATTGATCAGATACTCAGAGAATCTTACTCTGTTCCCCCATTGTATGTTACCCAGAAAAATGACGAGAAGGGGAGGTGTGCTGCTGGAATTAAAAGTTGTAAACCTGCTCCTCGTAGAAGCCAAAAGTACTTTATCATGGCCTGGAGTCACACTTAAAACAGTTCATAGATGTACAGTCTGTGGCAACCATCTCTTCAAATGGACTACATCACACCAAAATCTAACCAAAGTTGGTTTGAATAGGGCAAATCCCACATCTTTCCTTAAATCCCTTGGGATATTTTCTGTGGCTTTACAGTGTGAATCCTCTGCTTTCTTAACAGGTCTCACATCGCCCACTAACATAGGCAATAATCACAGAAATTAAAAAAATCAGTGCATGTCTGTATAAAACTCTTATGAAAAGACTGAAACGGAATACCCACACTGTGCTGGCACATGGACAGAGTAAACAAGCTGGAAAGAGAGAAAGAAAGAAAGAGCAAGAGATCCTTTTCCTCACCCTCCCTTTCCAACCCTTCTACTTACTTGAAGTATAAGTTTAAAGGAAGTTTTAAAAGTAGGTTAAAAAATATCAGCAACTTGATTTCATTTACACTTCTTCATTAACACCTTTATAAAGATACTCAGGTTTTAGAATGCACTGTTGGTTTGTATTAGAAGAAGCTCTTGCTGTGCGATTGCTTGAAGCAGATAGGATTGTGCGAACTGCATGGCTTTTGTTGAGCCTGCATTTTAGAGCAAATATCTTTGAAGCACAGTCTACTGAGAAGAACAGCTTTTCACAGGAAACAGAAGAAACTACTGTGTGCTCGAGACAAATGGGATTTTCCCCAGGCAAGAAAGATGTAATAAACATCTCAATACAAAATTAGTTAAGAAATATATGAAAGGTTGTGGGTTGATCTTTGCTTTTACAAAGACGAAGGATGAAAACAGCTATGTTAAAGGACCTACAAATTCTTCCAGAGCAGATTTCAGATATAAATAAAAAATTTAAATGAATGCTCTAATATATGCTTGCAAACCAGCCAATATGACAAGAATGTGTAAGGAACGGCAGAAATGTAGATCCCATTCACTTTCTGTCACACCACACTGACAGATTAAAGCAGTACAACTGCTGTAACACATTGCATTCCCATTCCCCCCTTTTTCTCATGCTCCTCATTTTCCATGTCCACCTTACACCTGCATTTCCCCTTCCTCTCCTGTTATCATTCTGCATCACTGCATCTTTGTTCCCCTGCTCCTGATATGAGTCTTTGACTCTGCAAGTCACACCTTCACTGACCCCAAGTCACAGTGTTCTAGCCCCTTCCCTGACAGTAGCTCTGTCTGCCCCTTGCCCCTTCTTGCTGCCAGTTGTTTCAATGTAGACTGCTAACTACAACTAACAACAATTTAAAGATAAAAACCCCAGAGTCTAGTCCCATCCAGAGAGCAAACATGATTTTGAGTCGGCACGTAGGAGGAAAAGTAACCCTGAAATACCTGCATCAAAGTTGGATGCAAAACACACCTAGGGCCACTGGTGAAAGTACACAGCCAAAGGTCTGAGCTGGCTGCAAAGATATGTTATTCTGAACATTTTTTTTTCAATCTTTCCTTTTCTACTTAGTGCCATGGTAAAGGGATACCCTGACAGATATTCTAAAGTCTAAATATAAGATCCCTGCATCAATAATGCTTATATCACTTAAAAGGGTAATGCTAAAAAGGGGTCTAGTTGTTGTTTTATTTTATTATAATTTGACAAATACAATTTTTAAAAGATTAGAAGTCTAATACCCCAAAATGCAAAACCTAGGTTTTCCCAAGTTTCTATTATAGAGAGAAGGATCTTCAGTGGTGAAGAATCATCTACAGTCACCAGTGAAAGGGATGGGTTTTTGTTCTGGTCAACAGAGCGTTGAAGTTGTCAGTCATTCAAGTCAGTTTGTTCACTGAAAACAAGAAATGACAAGAAAATATGATTTTTGACTTTTCCTAGTGGGCTGTAAACCACATAAAACCCTCTCTGTCCTTAATTATTTTGTCTAAATTTAGGAGAAGCTCCTATATTTAACTGTTTGTGTATAGTCCTCATGAGTCTGAGGCTAAAACTGTTGTTTGATATTTGACCTGCCTTTCCCTATTAGTCATTGCTTCTAAAGAAAACTGTATTTATGGCCCATCTCTTCTTGCTTTAATATGAATGTCCACAGGAACAAAGCATGCAGAAAAGCAGTGAAGCTTACTCCACATTTTAAATCTGAGTTTCATATGGCTGATACTCAGTATTTTTTTGCTGTTTGACTTTACTTATCTATTTTTCCTTTAGCTGAAGATTTTATTATATATTAAATGATTCATGTGAACAAAAAAAATTACAGAAGACATGGAACATACTTCATGAAACAAGAGAAGACCAACATCTAGGTCATGGAATTCAGCAAAGTTCAGAAAAAATCAGGCATGTGAAGAGCTAAAAATGCAGTTTAACTATCAGTTCCTTATGCAAGCAAAAAAAAAAATGGCATTTACAAAAATTAGTAAGAAAAACTTCAATTTTAATTGGAAAAATTATTTTAAATGGCATAAAGACATGGCATAATTTTGATGGGCAGGTAAACCCAATAAATGATTCCCTGCAGCTGAAAATATGAAGTCTGTCTTCCCTTTTCTTCTGCTTCTCTCTGTGAACCAGCTCCTATCTTCCTCCTCCCCTTCTCAAAGCCACCAGAGTCCACTGTCACATTTTAGGGCTGAAATTTCAGAAAACTACTCACAACATAAATGGTACAAAAGGTCTGCCATTTAAGTGAACTAATTCAGTTCCTGGAGAAATATAAGTGCCAGAGAAAAAATTAAGTATATGATGGGAAAAGAAAGGGAGAGAAGGGTCTGCTCATTCTGTCTCACGAGGCTGTTCCATAAAAAGATACCACTTGAGAGAATGTGTCTTTTTCCTACACATTCCACACCTGGTGCAGACCCATAATTGATCACAGTGATGCAATAGCTGTCCGGAATTCCAACAAAAGTACCTTATTTACTCAGGAATCAGGCATCCTCCTATGGCTTCAGACCACTCCATTCTGCTTTTCTAGGTGTTTCAGCTTTTAGTCCATAATTCAGTGGGGATGCTTTTAATAACAAGAATGGAAAACCTTCTGTCTAGGGTTCAGAAGCTCTTTTTCTGGTTTTAGAGTAACAAGAACCACCGGCACTTAGACAGTCACAAAACATCACCCTCCAAAGAAGCTTCTGCCCAGTATTCATCCTGGCTTCACAGTAGAGCAGATGCACAAAATTCTTCAGCTACCTCTCGGCTTAGAAAGGGTTCTACACTCAGCTCCATGTTTGCAAAAGAGATCTGGAAAAAATGTTCTTTGTCTGAACATTATTGTTCCTTGGGGGTGGCAGAGCATGCTCCTTCTGCAAGACAGAATAGACTCCAAGGCCCCCCATGGCACACAGCAGCTTCCAGGGAATCTGTGATAGGCCAATACCCCCCATAAGCCTCTAAACCATCCGCAATCCCCGACAGCCACCATGTCAAATGACAATAGTGCAGAATCCCCAAAAGAGTTTCAGTCTTCTGAAATGAATTGAGAACTTTATTACAATAAGGAGACTAGAATTCCCCTTAAGAAGGCACTCCCAACGTATGGCGCACCAGGCCAGGGTAAATGCTCTAAGGCTGGCCTGCAAAAGTCTATGAAAACACTGTTTTCAACAGTGTCTCTTTTAAAGGTTTGACGAAACAGCCCAGTGGTGGTAACAGAGAAAGAATGAGGCTAACAAGCATCCATCAGTCAGAAACTTTGGCAACTACCACCCTAAACCGCTTTTCCCCCCTATCCTCTTACTCCTGGCAGAGTTTTTAGGCCCCCTTCTGCCAGTCATCCCTTGACAGAATTAAGGCTACAGCGTGTGTGCTGCTCACCAGGGTTCTCCTACTCCACCTAGGCTCTGGCTCTTCTGAGGCAGCTTCCAGAGCCACTCAGCTTGATGACAAGCCTGCTAACACGGACATCCCTGGCTAGAGAAACTGCCTTTTCAGTTCTTTTGGATATCGAACGTCACAGAGGTGGACCTCCTTCTAGAGCCCTTTTGCTGGGGTTCCAGCATGACTAACCTTAACCTTGGCAACACACCGCAGCTTAGTAAAGTTTACATACTTAGACGAAGGCAGTCACATAGTCTGTCTAGCAATAGTGATGTCAAAAGGTATTGCTCAACATTTTCCCTACTTAGTTTTATTGCCTCTAGATTTCCTGATTTCATCTTGTGTAAGATTTCTGTGGTTAAAAAAGAGAATGATGGATTTTTGACACCTACAAGTCTCCTGTTATTTACAAGAGAGCACTTGAAATGAAAGTGGTGGTGTTCCCCGCTGCTGACTATGCAGCATGCCTGACTATGTGACTGTCCTTTAACCAAGAGGAGGTCACACCAAACAATGTTGCTACAGATGTCTGTCCTGCTCTCTCTTACCAGTCTGCTCCCTCGTGGAAGGAGTGACCAAGATGTTCTATGCTTGAAACTACACTGTGGTTTCTGTAATGCCTGGATCATTACCTAAGAAACTGCTCTTAATCATGGTTAAGTACCTTCCAAGTACCAAAAGAGAAAAGATGCCTTTCCAAGATACATTCATTGTGGTTTTAAGATAGAAGTGTGTTTCTACAAATTTAGATCAGCTGGTAGTTGCGACACAGGTAGGTCATAGAAATGTAGTGCATTCATACATTGATTAAACCTGAGAGTACATCTCACAGCTGGTATGATTCTAGCCTCTGCTCTTAACCTAGCCTTCACTTATGGAAGAGCCCAAAAGCTACTCCCATAAAGGTCATATTTCTTCCTGCCACATGCTGCAGTATTTTTTACCTATTTCTTGTACTGAAATCAATATGGGGACTCTTTACACAGCTGATTCATTCGTTAAATGAAAAAATGTGATTATGGAATTACATATACTGTGTGAGTTGTCTGACAGGATATATGTAGGATCTTTCATGTTCATTTTGGATATTTTTTGAGATGGAGATACTACAGGTTATATTTTTTGTGCAACAGCATCAAATTTGGATGCAAGTTTGATGCCTATCTCATGGTTTTACAAATTCTATAATACATGTCATTAACATGTCTAAAAAAAATAACTTCCAAAAATTCTTTCCCGGATGCGCAGATGGAGAACATACCACCTTCTAATGTCTTCTTGGTCATCTTAAATCTGACCTTGATCGTATTTCCAAGTATCTCCTGTTTAGAACCAAAACAAAGCAAAGGTGCTCCTGAAGTTAGTATTAGAATTTGTTTTGCTACTTCTCTGAGAATTATCATCCTACCTCAGATTAGACTTTCTGTCTACTACACTTCCTCACTCATTAGAAATTTTGTTCTAGTACTCATAAAATATGATAAGGGACACATTAGAAACCTGGTAATATGAGAAAACAAGGGACAGATCATGTGTTGAGAAGCTAAACCACTGAATGTGGTTTGAAACATCAAAAAGTATTAGCTTTTCTTAACAGATTCAGTTTCCTATCCTTTTCCTGTCTTTGGCACTACTATATTCATTACTATTACCTTTCTGCTTTTTCCTGTACTCACCAGGATGACTGACATTACTTTGCGGACATGGGCAGGAAAACTGTCTGCAAGAAGCAAGAACAATGTGAAGTACTTGCCCTATGTCCTGTGAATTGGCAATACTTTGACAGAGTGTCATTGTTGAAAACTACTCCATCAGAGGTCCTGAACACCTTTATAACAGCCTCTTTCCCTAGCACAACATAAGAGTCCCATAAATACTGTTTTAGCAATATTAGTCACATCAGTTGTAAATGGTGTTGTAAAACCTGTGCACAAACGTGTACATAGTTTGTTTTCTCCAGATGATATGAGCACTGTAACCAAAAGTGCAGGACAATCTCTAGCTGTAAGCAAGCACAGTACTGTTAATATCAGAGAAACTCTGCCATGTATGTTTGGGTTCTTTGTTTTTTGTTTGGTTAGTTTTTTACTTATCAGATCCATTATCACAAATAAAAACCTGCTAGTATCTTCTCATTGCCTCAAAATCCCCTTCAACTTGCACAGAGCATGATAGTATAAACTCTATCCACATCTAGCCATACTAATCTCATCATCATAGGATTTGCATTTTTTCCTTACCAGATAAATACTTACAGTTTCTTCTTCATTTTATTTTTTGCTACTTTTATAACCTTTCATATATGTTTTTGCAATGCATTTTGAAAAGAAAAAATATATATGTATTAAATCCAACAGTATACAGAAATAGAGAAAAAGTCTGTAAACTACAGTCATTCTGAAGTACACTATCCTAGTCATAGTGCCAAGGCCACTCCATTTCCTGATGCTAAACAAGTAAACCTGCAAGAGCCTTTAAGTAGGTATGAAACTTTCCTTTTCAGAATATTCATGTTCCCCATAGGCTTCTGCCACAGACTTTGCAAGAACTCTGTTACAGATTAAAACAAATTCAAGTTGTAAAATACTTTTCACTTCCTTTTCTGAGTCTCTCTTTGCAAATTGCAGGCCAGAAACAAAACCAATACACAGTCAAACAAGGATTAAGACATCTTTTAAATATTTGTACTAAACAGGCAAAAATAAATATTTTTCCTACTTATTCTAATGCATTTATTATGATCAGTCTACACTATTTAAAAAAAATAGATATTCTGACTTGACATTTTAAATTATTTACCTGTCAAGAGCAACATTACTGAGAAACCACATAAATACTCACCTATATAATTTTTTGTTTGTTTTTTTCTATCCTCATAAAGATTTCAGCAAAGGGTGTGATGTTTTAACAAAACTATTAGGAGAATATAGACTTTTCAGCACAGAGATACCAGTCTGGATTCATTACACTGGCACAGCTTATAGCTAAAATACAGCATTGTACTAGTAATAACTGTGTTTGGAGAAGGGGAAGTTTTTCCCATACTGATGTCAATTGAAGCAGTAGCACTTTGAGTAAGAATGAGCTCTTCTACATGCATGGATCCTCTTTTGGATCTATTTGTGTAGGATGAGGTTGCTACCACTCCTGGTTGGTCCTCATAGCCTATTAGTTGCAGGTTACTGCTTGCAGAGCTCTGCTAACCAAAGAGACCCTATGAGCCCTTCCTCATTCACGTTAGTCCAGTCTGCAAGGTTATCAGCTGTTTTAATCAAACCTTCTAGATGGGCCTGTAGTGGATAAAGTAAGCACACTTATTTTCACTACAAGATTTGCCAGGGCGATACACTTCAGCAGCAGGACTGGCAATGAAGAAATGATATTTTAATATCCCCAACCAGCCCAGCAATTTGCAAAGCCAGCAGCTGCCAACACAGCACAAAGCAACTGTGACTCAGAAGCAAGCAATGACTGGCAGGATTCAGTATTTACCCTGCCCAGCCTGCAAGGCATCCCCTTCAGGGTGAACCATTAAGGTCTGAAGATAGTGACTGATAACCTCATACCCACATACTTCCTCAGGAATAGGTGGATCTCCAACTATACATATACAGATACATATAAATCACTACTTGCATCACTGATGGTTTCTGACTCCAACAGAGGCATGCTGTTACTCCATCTTCTTAGGAGGACTGAAATACACCCTCATGCTCTGTGGTAAAGGCCTGAAAAATAAGAGGGTGCAAATGAAAGCTTGACTATTCCATTAGTCTGCGTTCCCATTATGGCACCCCAGTAGGAAAGTGATGTCATAGGCAAACAGGTAAGAAATCATTCAGTTACATCAGTGATGAACCTAAAGGCAAAACTACCATCATCTTTAGTTTTCAAGGTACCCGTAAACTACTTAGTCAAACTTCTTCTCCAGTCAAATGTACGTCCCTGTTGTTTCGTTTGAAACATTAGTAGCTTGTCATTTAAATTCTCTGCTTGTGTTTAGAGAAATACAAAATCACTAACACTAAAGTGTTAGCTTCAGAGGTAGAGAAGTTCATTAAGGGAAACATAAAAATTAAGTTGCTCTTAAAAGAGAGCATGCAGCTTTGCCATTGTGTTTTTTAAACTAATGATTCTCCCCCTAGGCACATAATATCATGGCACTCATTACTATTGATGGCCAATCTTAGGTAGAGCTCTTGAGAGTATTTTAGAGTATAATGAGGCACTATACTGCAAGGCCCAATACTTTGAGTTAAAAGAGATACATTTTACCAAATCCTGCAATAACAAAGCAAGTGGCTGAAGCAAGGTAAATTTCGACTGGACATAAGGAAGAATTTCTTTTACGATGCGGGTGGTGAGGGACTGGAACAGGTTGCTCACAGAAGTCATGGATGCCCCCATCCTTGAGCGTGTCCAAGGCCAAGTGGAACGGGGCTTTAAGCAACCTGATCCAGTGGAAGATGTCCCTGCCTGTGGCAGAAGGGGGTTGGAGTAGATAGTCTTTAGAGGTCCCTTCCAGCTCAAACCATTCTATGGTTCTGTGATCCCACAATTCTATGAAAAGTAGAACATTTTTGTTGATATATTCTGGTGACTTTGTCCAGAACATGAATACCTTTTTGCAAAGCTCTGCTCAAGAAAAAGTCAATTTTTTTTTTAAGTGGTAATCCTTACAGTGAATGCACTATTGTAACCAAAATTTATAGTACTGACATAGACCTTGAGTCACTAATGCAGGTCATGCTTTGAATATTTGCCTTGAACAAACAGTCAATGGGACTCAATGAACACCAGGTCACTCCTTAGCTCAAAACATCAGATGGAAAATTGCAATTAGGTTGCAGAGAAGATTGAATCTGTTGCTTGAGACCAAGGCCCCAAACCCTCATCTTCCTCCAAAATTTAGATGTACTCACCGAAAAAAGAAAAAATCATCATTGCACAGCTTAGGTCTGCAGTGTCATGAGAATGCACATAATGCACAATGCACAGAATTAATAAGATTGTCATGTTAAAAAATCTTCAGTTAATAAGCAAGTGGAATTACAATTGTAAATAGAGTCTGTTAAGCTCTAACAAGTGTATACATTTTAGGGTCAACAATTTTCCAATGTTATTGGAATAACAAATATATAAAAATAGATTTGGGGTTCATGGTACAATTCTGTAGTTATAAAATTAAATTAGCGTTGCATTAAAATATCCTTTTTTTCCACAACATCGTAAATGAAGTTACCTCTTCAGTCAGGCATGTGAGAATGACTTTCTGATGTTTTCTCCAAATTCTTGCCTTCTCCTTCTGGTGTTTCATCCTCTGTGTTATACCAAAATTGTGACAAAATATGTTAAAGTGCCACCATTAGTTATTAAAACATGAGACACTAACTGAAGAAGGTTGCTACTCTTCAGAGCATTGTTTTTCAGAAATCAGTCAGCAGGCATCTCAGAGACTGCCTTAATCAGAACTAAAGGGATTCTTCAAACTCTTTAAACTTTTCCCACACAGTCAAGGGTGAAATTAGAGTAATTTTGACATTAGACTAATGTATGCATATCTTCAGGAAAAAAAAAATAAAAGGACTTGCAATTATTAGGCTACAACACAATACTGCTTTTCTCCTTTTAATAGGTTATTTGGTGAATTGAAACAATGACTGCTAGTGGTTCAATATATTTCATACATGATCACACAGAAGTCTACAGTATACTGTCATATTACAGTAGAAACACATATACTTAAATTTCTGTTGGAGATATTTGGTTTCAAACAAATGTCTTTGATTACTGGCATAAAGAGTTATTTTTTCACTATTTCATTTTTTTTCCAAAAAAGCTTTACTTAATTCTACTTCAATATGGTCCTTAAAACTTCACAAAAAGTAGTTCTGTGGAAAAAGAAATTAGCTTCTTACTAGCTCTATTTTATTACATTTCAAATCCAGAACCCTAACCTTTTATCCCACCATATGAATATCACAGCAAACAATAAACATATTACTGGACTATAATGATTACTGTTCAGAAGCTGAGCAACAGTAACTGACCCCACATGTGTTTTTAACAAAATCAGATCCACTATTTTGAACACTGGTGAGGATATACATTAGGCTCTTCCCACAGCCACAACAAAGCAGTCATGTTTTTCCAAAATAAAAATTTGCTGTAAGACAGCAATCTAGATTTGATATTTCTTCCCGAACTATCAGCAAAACCATGTACTAACCTTCACTTCATGTATTTACTGGAAACTACCAAAGACTAAGTGTGCTCAGCATCACTAAAGGCCTATAGAAAAATGATGGGGTTGCATCAATGCCTAAAACATTCTGCAAATTTTTTACTGTGGAGACAGAATAAAAACGCATGATGAATCTCATCGGATCCTCACATCTCAGGCTGCATTGGGAAGTCTCATCCTTGTCATACCTATGCAGAAATCACCTGATTCGTTGCTCTCTAGAGTCCCAGTAAGTATGTAAACAAAGGATGCCAAGCTTAGAGAATCACTATTTGATTGTAGGGGGAAGAGTAAGTCTTGCCATGAACAGGTGTTTATTACAGCTAAGTGGTAAGTTGATCTTACAGCAATGGACTACGTTTTAGTAATCAAAAACTATTTTCAAAATTCTATTATCCGGGAAGAAGACTAATTAGAGTATTACCAGCACTTCCAGGATTGCACTGAATAAAAACATCACTGAGAGATACAGACTCAACAACAGCATGGATCCATACAATCCTGGATTACTGTGTGCTCATCTCTGCCTGCGGCAAAGTCCATGGAGGAGAGAACTTCTCCCACATTTTTATTTTAATTTCTTTGTAAACCGGCCATCTTTTAAATGAACTTACCGATTCGGTGATAGTGATTAAGGCTGTACAAAATCAAGATAGGAAGAAACCTAGTGGGGGAGCTCCACCTAGCTGGCAAAATTTCTCTATTTGGCCCAGTTTAGTTTCACACATGGTGAGACCACTTCTCTAGGCAAGTTGTTTCCATACAAAAGCTCCCTGCAGAAATCATAAAGCCAAATGGGTATCCTCCAAATGCAGAGGCAGGACATCACACTATTAATGCATGAGAGTCCTGAAGCAGAAGGTTCCTTTTCCAGAGAGCCTGTCTAGGAGAGTATCAGGGGAAACCAATTCTGCTGAATGCATTCCTCCCCCACCTTCCTGCCCTCTTGATTCCCACTCAGAAGGGAGAAAAAACATAAAGGAGCAAGCAGACCAAAAAGAAAGAAAGTCTTAGAAACATGGATGCTAAGTGCAGCTTTGATCCTTTGCCCTTGTAGAAAGCTCATGGTAACTTCATGGTCCTTTGTGCTTCAGATTTAAAAAAAAAAAAAAAAAAGGAGTGGCAGAGTTGCATGTGAAGGACCAGCAAAGACAATGTTTACTAAAGAAATCCATTTTACAGATAAGTTCAAAATGCCATGAGGTTAATAAGCATTCTCCTTCTTTGACAGGCTGACTATCAAAATGAGCTCTAGGGAAAGGGACCTGTGTCTTTTCTCACGAACTCTCTACCTTAGGGATTTTAGTTTAAGTTGTAGAGTTTTTACACTATATTAATTACAATGTAAGACAGCTATTGCCAGAAGTCATTGCCATTGGGGACAAAGCTCTTTTTAAGGCCAGTGGAATTTGAATACTAGGACAGAAACCTGGAGTCAGCTGAATCCTGTATTATAACAGGTCAGGGCAAAACCAAAGATGTAAAGATACTTTTCTCCAAATCAAAAAACTATCGTATCTGTCACATAACTTACCACTTCAGTCTGTTTCAGCCTCTGGAAATGACAGAACATTAAAGAATTTTTAACAGCTTCAAGAGGAATCCTAGGAGCCAAAGACCAGTACATTTGATTTGCTGACCAAACCAGTAAAAGCCTCTAGTATAAGATAACTGACTAAATTGTCAAAGAAGGGAAAGGGAAAGGGAAAGGGAAAGGGAAAGGGAAAGGGAAAGGGAAAGGGAAAGGGAAAG